TTTAATAATATAATAATAGGCTGAATGATTTATGCGTCGGATTCATGCAAAGAAAATTTTGAACAGATTTCTAAAATCATGGTTTGTATATATCATGTATTCATCAATTGAATTTTTTTTCTACATTATCGGTTTGAAAAGGAAAATGAATTTTATATACCTTATCGGCTTTGATAATACAATGTTACAATCATTGTCATTATTTATTTTAAAAGATAATGTTTATCATTTATTTGCTTTCAAAAGATGAAAACTTTTTAATAGTTTAGGTCTCTTTTTATTTATGCATTTACGCAAATTAACTAAACGATTGGCAACATAATTTGTTATATATTGAATCAAACAGTAATTAATAAAAAAAGTCCATCAATCACGAAATTAAAAAAATAACACACGATCACTACATTTAAAAGATTAAATTTTTTGAGATAAACATTCATTTATATTGTCACGACGATAAACAAGGGTGGGTTTCAGTCTCTATCGCACGTTTGCATATTCTTGAAAAAACATGTTTTAGTTACGATCACTTATATATTGCAATTTCGCGTGATACATATAAAAAATAGTTGAAAATATTAATTTGTGGGAATAACAAGTTGCTCAATAATCAAACTAATAATGTTATTTACAATTATGTTTTTAATAACAAATGATTTTTTCAGACCCAAACATTTTATGAGTACTTTCCGCCCAAAATATTAATTACCTACTATAGATGGAAATATTATAATATGATATAAATAAAAAATAAATCATTGACTGCATAATTTTCATATAACTCGGCTTTCGGTTTGTGTTTGTTTTAGTCAATTCTTGGTTTCCTTTAACTACGTTGATAGTGGTTTTGTAGGCAAAAAGATTATGTAGATAATTATATGTAGCCGATTTTGGAATTCTCATTTATCGAGGATTCTTTTTTTAACAAATTTATTAGAATCATTGATTTAGATTAGCATATATGTTACAGACACAAAAAAACAATTTTATAGTAATATTTAATTTTACATGGCATCTATTTTGGAATTCTCATTTGTGAGGATTCTTATTTATTTTATCATATTTATTAGAACCAACAATTTGGATTGACATTATACACAAAATATAAATTTATATTAATATTTAAATATATTTTACATTGTAGCATATTTTGAAAATAAACAATTTTATATGAGACATATACAAATCTTTTTTTTTTTTTGAGATATAAACCAATTCCCTTAATTGGTATTCTTTTTTTTCAATTGTTTTAAAAGGAAAATTTTTAAAATTTTGTATAGTAAATCGATTTTTCGTTTTCGTATACACAAAATATAAATCTATATATGTAAAATCTATATCTATATATATAAATTTAATACATAAAAAATTGTCACACATATAATAGGAAAATTATCCAACTAATTACTAATATTTTTTAGAATTTAATACATATTATTCACATGTAGTATTTTGTATATTTTAAACATGTTGTGTATATATGTATGGGTGTTGAATTTTTTTAAGACATGTTTTACTTATAAAATAACTTAGAAAGGTGACCTCACATTTTTTAGAAATAATATAGAATATTTTAGATAATTTTACACATGTTGTATAAAAATTTAGTGGTTTTAATATTTTAACCATACATGTTTAAGGTTCTTTTAAACAACATGAAAAAACTATAAGAATTTTAGTGAATATTATTTAGCTAATCCAGTATAATCGATATTAAAATGATAAACTAACAACTCATTTGTCCAACTGCCGTATAAATTATCATATTATAAATATACCCATTTTAGACTTCATTTTAAGTTCATGCGGCACCAGTTCCTTTTGATTTTGGGGTTCTATTTAACAGTCAAGGTCAATC